AACAGAACTGAACCATAACAAGCTGCCCCTTCTATTTTCCTTTTTTTATTTTCTTTTAAGTTCTATTCCTGATTTGGTTTTGTCTGCCCTTAACTTGAAAGAACAGATCTGCTCAATCACAGCAGTGGGTCTGAAAATGGATTTATGTACCAGCAGCTGAGCTCTCCTTGTTTCAAGCTGTTCTCTGCACCGTGGTTTGGATGAGGCAGTTCTGGGTTTCCAGACCTTCTGCGTGTTTTCCTAAATTCCTTTGTTTTTTAGTATCACAGGTCTTGGATCCACAATTCCAACTTCTCTTTTCACATTAAAATTACTGGAAATATTTTGTGTCTGGAGGGCACTGCATTGAATAACCACCCTCTGGAATTTTTTAATAATCTTCATTAGAAGGCTGCTGCTACACACTGATTAAGAAAATTCAGACTGTTGGATTTTTGAACTGATGCTTTAAGGTCATGGTAGCTGTCAGGAAGAGTTCTGGGCATGATGGGCCTAAGTCCAGTCAGCAAGAATCATCTCCTAGTAAAATCCAAACCCAAGTACACAATAATGACACTGCCTTGGGTTCCTTTGATCAGATCTTCTGTTTTTAATAGTTCAAATTTAATAGCGTGGTAATTGAGCTTATTCTGGTGATAACTGTGTAGTCCCTCCTTAGTGTCTAGATGGTTGTCCTCCTGACTGTCTTGAAAACATCAAAGCATTTTTTGCTCCTTTTGCCCTGCAGCCATAAGAGATGTGTTTGATTTCAAGTGCAATGCAGTCACAAATATGCACAATAAATTATTAGCTGATAAGCTGTATGAAAAAGAGGCAAAGAAGAACTACTAGCTCCTGCTTTTCAAAAAGGAAAATTCAATGAGCTCAGCAGCTTCAGTACCTGAGTTCATACTGCCAGCTCTTTTTAATTCCCCTTGGATACGCCAGCCTGGGATGCCTCACAAAGAGCTGAGATCGTGTGAATCTGCCAAGTAGTGATTGGAGCAGTTAAAACACTGCAAGAGCAGAAACACAACTGCCAGAGCTGGCAGGGTTGAAGCAGCAGCTCACAAACCTAGGCAAGTCTCCTAAAACTCAGCAAAGTGTCTGTAAAGGTTTCTTGCAGCTCTGTGTGTTCAGTGTGTCCCCAAGTCTACCTGGCATATTGTGATGGTAATACCATAAAAAGTGTAAATACCCATGGCTGAAACTTGTTTCTGTTGGTCTGAATTTGGGTAGGAATGGAGTCACTTAGGGAAAAGTAAAGGCAGTGAGGTAAGCTTAACTTCAGTCTGCTTTTTTTTAATGTCCTGTGTATGTTCACTGTTATGTTAAATGTGTTTAAACAATATTCTTTCACTTGTGAGCTGAAATTTTTTCACTTGCATGGTCACTGAAGCAGCACCTTGCCTTGGCCTGTGTACATGCATGTCTTGGAGCAGATGACTGATGCCAAGAGAATAGTTTGCTTTCACACCAAAGGCTGAATGAGACATTCAGTGGTGTCTGCTCAGTTCGAGTGTCTGTAGGGTGAGGAGCTGGAAATTTGGAATGAATGTGTTTGGACATTGATCAAGCTGAGAATTACCAGCAGTGCTTGTAAAACCACAACTGTAATATTTGTCCTGGTGTTGAGAGAAACAGCATGCATGCCTGTGAAGCACAGGGTGGGGGAATAGCACACGAAATAGGGCACTCAAGAGCCTGGAGATAAGTGGTTTTAATTTATAATTCACAAATCCAGAAATCTGAGGCTGTGATGTTTTCCTTTCCTGTGAATCAAAAGGAGTGTGTGCTGGGTAGCTGAGCCTGTAATGCTGTTCACCAGGGCAGAAGAGGTGCAGTTTGTGATCCTGGGGAAAAACCTTTTGTGTATCCCAGATCCCCATCCCCTGCTGAGGGGTGAACACTGAGCTTTTTAGTAACCACGTGCCACCCTTCAGGATTTGGGTTTGTCACTCAAAGTATCTCTGGTGTGTGTTTCCCTCCAAGTGAGGTAAGATTGTTTCTTTTTCCTTTTTGCCCCTCTTCACTGCTTTTCTCACAGTACTGCTTTTCCATTCTTGCTCTGCAGTTTGCCATGTGGGTGGATGCTGTTATATTTGTCTTCAGCTTGGAAGATGAGATCAGCTTCCAGACTGTTTACCACTACTACAGCCGTATGGCCAACTATCGCAACACTAGTGAAATCCCCATGGTGCTGGTGGGAACCCAGGGTAAGTGCAGTCTTCATTTAACATCACAGAATCATAGGGGTTGGAAGGGACCTCTGAAGATCAAGTCCAACCCCCCTGCTGCAGCAGGAACACCCAGGGCAGATCACAAAGGAACCCATCTGGATATGTCTTGAAAGTTTCCAGAGAAGGAGACTCCACACCCTCCCTGGGCAGCCTGTCCCAGGGCTCTGTCACTCTCACAGGAAAGAAGTTTCTCCTCCTATTGAGGTGGAACTTCCTGTGTTGTCACTTGGTGCTGTTTCCCCTCATCCTGTCACAGGCACCACTGAACAGAGACTGGCCCATTCTTGACACCCACCCTGCAGATATTTATAGACATTAATCAGGTCCCCTCTCAGTCTTCTCATGACTGAACAGACCCAGGTCTCTCAGCCTTTCCTTGTATGACAGATGTTCCAGTCCCTTCATCATCCTTGTAGCTTTCTCTGGACTCTTCCCAGCATGTCCCTGTCCCTCTTGAACTGGGGAGCCCAGAACTGGATATTTCTCTGACCAGATAGACTGTTCCAAGCTGGCAGGGCCAGGGCCTGGCCTTCTCCCTCTCTTGGGTCAGCACTGCTGCTCACCTGATGATGGGAGCTTAGGGATGAATGGGTGGTGGTCTGTTGTCTGGGCTTCCTTGGTGGGCTTGCTACAGGGCCATGGTGTTGAGAGGACTCCTTTGAGATGAGAGATGAACATCTGTGCAGCACCCTTGGGAGAGGGAGTGTGAGACTGCAGCCCTGATAGCTTAGCAGAATATTGAAAAGGGTTTTCAGCACTTGCCAGTCATGGTGCTTTCCTGGATCAGTGGTGCTCACTCTGGGCAGGTGAACGGTTGTGTAACAGAGTTTGGAAGTCAGACTGGTTTCCTTTAGCGTGA